GTAATTTGACAGCCTTCTGAACTTTATGTTTTCTAAGTATTCATTAGCTGACATAATTTCAGGGGACTTGAATGCCAGGATTGGCAGCGGTTCCACTGGAGCTACATCCATCAGAAACCTGCAATTGTCAGATTCTTCCTTTTAAGGCACTTCTCCAGGAATAACTGTCTGAATCAAAGAGGAAAATATCTGGTCAAACTTATTTATAATAATAGTCCAATAACGGTAAATAGCAGGCTGTGGGATAAATCTGTGGACTTTCACTTATGTTTCCAACTAAGGGCAGCATTATTGATGATTGAAGAATTAGCTCTTCAGAGCTTATTTGCAACCTTGAGTTGGATATTTCACGCTGGTGGAAAGTAAACGTTTTCCTATTAAACTTAATTTGAGCTTTCAAAACGGTCCTTGCATCTGTTCCTACACATACTCAAATTAGTGAGATTTTAGGGATAAGGTTAAACTGAAGTGAACAAATACATTTATGATAACAAAGGATTTATGGCACATATTTTATTCTGGAAGTCTTCATGAATAATTATTTATAATATCAACAAATCGTGGTTATACTACTATGTTGCTGGACTATGCAAGAACAAGTACTTTCATCTCTTGCTTCATAAAAGAGATCAGAAAGAAATTCCAGGCCATATTATCAAGATATTATCTTAAATATAACTGAGATCAAGTCATCCAGAGACTCATTAAGACATAAGTCTTTTAAAAATGACTTCTCCTTTCCAAAAATTAAATTACATAAAATGTGCAGGAATATTTTGGGCTCACCAGCAGGGACACTGACAATGCAAATCTGGGGTCTTCAACTTCAGTATGAGAAAATTAAAATCACGTGCATGAATTGACTACTACCCAAAACATTTAAATTTCCATGCTGCCTCTATTTTGTTGTCTCCAGTATTCTCAATAGCCAGAATCCATTATTTTCATCAACTCTAAAAAAATAAAAATAAATAAGATCCAGTTTTTTGAGGCTGAAAAGGGCTCCAGAAGAAAATCTCTGCTGCTAAGTCTGTCAGGCATGACTCAGTGGTTGAGTGTGGACCTATGAACCAGGAGGTCACAGTTCGATTCCCGGTCAGGGCACATCTCCAGGTTGTGGGTGTGTGGGACATGCAGGAGGCAGCTGATCAATGGTTCTCTCTCATCATTGATGTTTCTCTCTCTCCCTCTTCTTTCTTCTCTGGAATCAATAAAAATATGCTAAAAAAAAAAAAAAAGAAAATCTCTGCTGCCAGAATTATTTTGATCTTGCTTGAGTAGTTGACTGAAGTCCTTGTCAACCTTAATTAACACCACAGGTATGGTTCGCTCAACATGAACACTAAGCGTTGTTGACTCTAGATTCAAAAAGGGAAACCTTCCATCTCCTGGAATTGCAGAACCTTGCATTAAGGCTGTCAGAGACATCTTCAAAATAACATCACATTTCTTCTTTAAAAAAATCTCAATCTAATTGCTTGCTTGCACAGGAGCTAGCCAGTTCTAGGTATAAGCTTTTTTTTTTTTTTTTTTTTTAATAGATAGTGACTATTAAAATATTTGTTGAATGAGTGGATTCTGTTATTTATTTTATCTCCTCCAAAGAATAACTGAGACCTTTGTGAAACTTTTGTCTGGATACATTATTTTCCCCCTGTAATCTTCTCTTTCCTGTATCTAACTATCATTGGTCCAATAATCTGAAGGAGAAACCCGGAAGTTATCCTGGTAACCTCCTGCCCTCCCCATATCCATTCAATTTCCAACACTTGCTGACTTTTACATCCTAAATGTGTGTTGATCCTATTCTCTCCTTCGATCCCTTCTGGCACTATACAGGCTCCAGGCCTCACCCTACTCTCTGGGCTTTTAGAATAGCATCCTAATGGCTTTCTCTTGTCACCAGTAATGACATCCTCTGATTTATCCTTCTGAGTATTATATTTAAAATACAAATTTGATCAGTTAATTTCCTTTTAATGGCTCTCCATCATCCCCAGTAAAACAAACAAACAAAAAAACAACTAAGCTCCTGGCATAAAATCTAAGCCTTCTGTGATTTGGCTTCAGTGAACCTCTCAGGTTTATTTTCCACCTGCTGCTCACTGCCTAACACTGTGCTGCAGCAGGTCTTTCATTTGGGGCACTACTGACATTTGGGGCTGGATCGTTTTTTTGTTAGGGGCGGGGCGCCTGTCCTGTGCCATTGTAAGATGTTTAGCAGCATCCCTCACCTCTACCCACCAGATGCAGTGGTATTCCCTTCTCTTACTTGACAACCAAGAGTAACTCCAGACATTGCTGAATGTCCCCTGGTGGGCAAAAGTGCCCCTGGTTGGGAAGTAGAAGTTGGGTGGTGAATCATAAACTCTTCACACACACCAGGCTACGTAGAACCACTCCTTTGCTTTTGTTATGTTCTTTTTGTTGTTGTTTTTTTTTCTTTGTTTGTTTTTGTTCCTGGAAAGCCTTTCTTCTTTGCCTAATGCAGGAAGAGAGGAAAAGAATCTGTCCTTGCCCTTCTTTTGTCTCCTCCTAAGAGGAGGAACTAGCAATCGATTGGTTAAGTGCCAGGACACTGATTGGATTATGAATGAGTTAATTTCTTTGAAAGAACCACATAGTGAGTATAACCCACTCTTCATTTTTAAAAAATCAATTAATACATGAATTCATACTTATAAAAATTCTAATAATATAAGACATAGAATTAAAAGTTAAAGTTTCGCAGGGTCAAACCATTCTAATTAAAAGAATTGTTTTGATAAATACTGCTCCAATATTATCACCACAGCCCCTTGGAGCTCCAGGATTGTGTATGGATTGAGGCTAGGTTGGGTTACCATATGGTGGGAAACTATTCACTTTGGTATGCTTGCTAGGATTATTGAAGCAGGCATTCATATTTCAGGCCTGCCTAGCTCAAACAAAGAAATGTCAGTAGAACTTCTAGAGCCCATGTGGTCCATCCCTTCTCCAAATCCTTACAATTCCTTTCCCTTCTATTTGCATTAAAATCCACAAACCATCATAATCATCAGAGCTGTTAGTAAGAAAGAGAGACTTGACGTTTTGTGATGTACCTACAATGCTACAAACATCAGTCCATAGAGCAGCCCAGAGATTCCATTTCAGAGTCCTGGGATCTCTATTTTTTACCAGTCCTTCCTCCTTTCCCAAGACAAATCTGATGTGCAGTCCTGTGTGAATGCCAGTGACTGAAGAGCTACAGATGAACATGTATGTAGAAAGATGCATCAAGGTACCCAACCTTTTGACAGTTGAGTTTGCCACCTCATATTCGTGTGGAATCAGCATGTAGCATCCACACTTAAAAAATCCCAAGTTACAGAAATCCTTATAGCAGCTGTAAGAAAAGATGTCTATGTGCCTATTTCCCTAAATACTAAGGAAGCCTTAAAAACAAACCAGGTGAAGAGGAAATACCTGCAAGGGGTCTTTCTTAAGATAACAAAAACATGCCCGGTGGTAGGGAAATGGGGCTATTTTCATAAAGGTTTCCAGCTATGGGAATAAAGGGTGAGAGAAATCCTTTCCATGTAAGATGAATTCTACAGAACTCATTTTTTAAAAGGGGAACTTAAAAATAACTCTTTCTCCTAATTCTTTTGATTATTATTTTTTAATCCTTTCTCACCTCTTAGGATCCCATGGGAGGTTGCTAAGAATAGCGGGGTGAAATGTTCCTAGTAGTGAAAATGAGGATAATGGAGAAAACTAGAAAAATGCATTGAACATTCGGATGGAGACAAACCTGACTACAAAACTGTATCTGTGCTGTGATTACAACTGTAAAAATTCCATCTGCATATGGACAGGGACTGAAAGGGAGCATGAAAAAAAATATAAACAGTTTGGTTTGTAGGATGGCAGAATTTTGGGTGGCTTTTTCCTTCTTTTATTTTGAGTTTTGTCAATGTTTTTGTAATGTTTTATAATAAACAATACTATAAAAAAAAGCAGCCGAACCTGATGACTAATTATTGTTAGAAAGAGGAGCTTAGCGTCAACTCTATCAGAGCTAAACTGCTGCTTTTGGCAGAGGGTCTCCAACATTATTAGGTTGATAACATCAGGTAACCTTAACCAAGGAGTCAACTCTTTCTGGTCCATAGGAGCATTTTCCCCCAGCCAAGGCCATCTGGCAGGCATACCAGGTTTTAGTGCAACTGGGGCCATAAGGAGGGTGTTTGGTTTTGTTGTTTTTATCTTATTTAAAAAAAAATAGTTGAAAAGGTTGATTGGTTACACCTGCCCTAAGAAAGGTCTTGGACCCAATCCTTATCTACAGTACAGGGTCCTTAAAAGTGTTCATCGAAGTGTGTGAGTGGGTTCCAACTCCATTTTGAGGAAACTACTGATGTCACCTGCAGGCACCCCTGCAGCTCATCTTTGTGCAGAAATGAAATGGCAAGAATACAAGTCAGGTTCTTAAGAAGCTGACAACAGAATGTCAGCTCACTTCCTGCACATCTGGTGTTTAAAGCATATGGATAATCAACATCATAGACTATTGGCACTTCAGGCACTTGTCAGGGAATTCATTCCTGAAGTGACTTATAACTGCGCACTACCTAAGGCTCACCCAAGACATCATATTGGGGAGACACAGTTTAATGGAGGGGCGATCTCTCCCTTCCTCTTCTAGGAGCTCTCATCTCTGTTCTTGCGTTTTGCTGTAGTCTCAGGAAGCAACATAGCTGGGCTGGATTACCTCTGCTCCTGACGGAAATGCTTCCACTGAGTTAAATGTCTAATATTATGCTTTGAGCCTTTATGAGATTCAATATCAGAATAGTCCATGGGAACAATGTTTTTGAATTTTTTTGGCAAATATTTTTGCTGAGGATGTTGGGCCTTATGTTACCTAAAATCTGTTATTAAAAATATACATGATAAATTCCCTCTGGATTTAGGACATCAGCTTTTCTTTGCTCGTAACACAGGTTAGAAACTGGGTGTTTCTCTTTGTACCTTAGGTACCAGGAAACTTATGGTGTCTCTCTCCTACTCATCCACGGGGTGTTCCATACAGATCAGGGGAGGTGATGAACTCAGCGGAGTTGGGCACAACAAGGAGGATACCATTTGGTGCCCATTTAGTTGCTGTGCCTGTTATGGCTTAGGTAAGTACCATGCTTCCAATTTTAATGATCCCATGAGAATTTTTTTCTCCAAGAATTAGTTGTTCCTGAAGTGCTAGATTTTCATAAAGGAAGGAATGCATTTCATTTTCTATAAATATCAAAATTAATTACTCATTGTTATAACTATTCATAAAAAATCAAAATTAGATGAGCATAGATTTTTTTTTAAGCCTAGAAGAGATCCATGTTATTATAGCATTTACAGCTCTATTATTTAAGGAAATTATGACATAAGGTTTGTCATTAAATTAAGCCAATACCTTTGCCTAAGTCCTAAGAAGAAATGTGTTAAAACTGGTGGGTAAAACGATGGTGTCTTATTATGAAAAGTATAGGAAATTGAGTAGCATTGCTTTTGTAGAATTCACACCAGTGTATCTAGTTGAAAACATATTCATTCATTTGCTCATTCATTCTTTCCATCATTCATCATGTGAATCTAACATGTTCCAGGGACCATTTTAGGTGCCGAGGATTCATCAGTGAACAGAACAGACAGAACTGCCTGCCTTTACAGAATTTATATTCTAACCTGTGTGTGTGTGTGTGCGTGTTTGTGTGTGTGTGGCAGGAAGGCAGTCAACAATAAACAAATAAATATACATGGTATGACAGTTGGTGTTAAGTGCTATGGAGAAAAGTCAAGTGGGTAAGGGAGAGATAGGATGCACTGGATATGGGGTGGAATTTGCTATTTTAAACAGTGTGACCAGGTGGCATGTGAGCAGAGATCGGAAGGAGAGCTACATGAGTTTCTCTAAGAAGAGTTTCCATGCAGGGAGAACGTGTTGTGCAAAAACCCCAAAGCAGGAGTGTGCTCGGTGTGTTTGAGGAAAGCAAGGAGGCCGATGGGGCAGGAACAGAGTGTGGGGGCAGAGTGGTGGGAGGCCAGAGAGGGAGTAGGGAGCCTGGTTATATAGGCCATTTAAAGGGCCTTTAAAAATGAGACTATAGAAAATTGAAGCATTTCAAGCAGGGCAGTAACATGATCTGACATGTTTTAAAAGCATCATCTGGTTGCTTTGTGGAGAGGACGCTGTAGAGAGGAGATGTGGGAAAAGTGGGTGCAGGAAGCCTAGTGAGGAGATTATCTGATGGTCATTTAGACTTGGCTTGCCATGGAGAGAAGTGGTCAGATTCTGGATCTAATTTAAAGGTAGAGCCACTGGGATTGCTGACTGTTAGGATAGGAGTCAGGAAAGAAAGATTAGTGTTTGGTCAGAGCAAGTGCCTCAAGGAATGAAAAGAATGAAGTTGCTATTATACTGGCTGTGACTGGCTTATCTCACATACGCATCATGTCCTCACGGTTCATGCATGTTGTAGCACGTGTCAGCATTTCTGTCCTTTATAAGGCTGAATAATATTCGTTGAACGGATATACTGCATTCTGCTTATCCATTTATACATTGCTGGAACCACAGTGATGTTTATTAAATATTACCACTCTTAGAAACTGACAGTAACTTATTCCCATCATTCTTAGGATAAAGCAAAAGTCTTTATTATGTTTTACAGGGCCTCCACCTAACATTGCAGCCTTCATTCTGCTTACGTGCCCTTGACTCTTCACTTCAGTCAGGCTGCCTGACCTTGCCCTAGTCTTTTCCACATCTGATCTCTGCCTCAGCTTTTCCCTAGGCCGATGGCACTATTTTTTTTTTTGCAGAATAAGCCCAACCTGTTCCTCAGGACTCAGTTCAAGATGTCACCTCCTTCAGGACACTTTCCCCCTTTTGTCCAGGCTGGGTTAGGTATCCTCTTTTTTGTACTGGCAGAATCCCCTGAACTTCTCTTTACCAATGCATTGGTCACTCTTGGAGTGAAGACGATGTTGTAATTATCAGTTTATTCCTGGAGTCTACTATACTTTTATGCTCAATACATTTCTGTTGAACGAATGAGTAATGGAGTGGGCAAAGATCTGGGGGCAGGGACGATGCGGGCATTGAGGCAGTGGCCTGTGTGTGTGACTACCTCCAGGCCACCAAACGTGAGGGGGCAATCCCGTGTAGCCCACTGAACGCTGGCTGCCTTCACACCCATGACTGAGGCGTTTGGTGCTCACAGTGCGAGTCATGATGCACTGAGACCCACATTCCTCGGCCCTCAGCGGTTAGGGGTTTTGGTACTCTCAGCTTAGCTTTACTCTTTCGCTCTTTTGGTAAATGATGCTGACACCCTTCCTGCCTCTGTTCTCTACCAATTCTTTCCCTCCCTCTACTCCCCCTACTCTGAACTTAGAAATAAAGTCATAGGTTTAGGTCACTTAAACAAAAATGAGACTTTATTCTGTGAAATAAGTGTTTCGTTTGTAAAAGAATCAATGGGCTATTTTGGATCAAATAACTGTGTTTTCTTTAGCCATTTAAAAGGGCCTATTTTCATTTTTTGAAGCCATTGCCTTGTGAAAGGACCTAAGAATATCCCCAACTTCGTGTTAGATCCCATAATTACGTTTTCCCATTTTGAAAGCAGTTATGCAGTCCTTACAATAAGAGTCAGTGCAGCCAAAAATAAACCTCAGGCAGTTCATATTAACTGGGTAATAATAACAGGCAACTAGGAGGCTCGGTGTCCAAATATGATGAAAACAGGAAGTTCATTACACAAGCTGTTCTTTCCTGATAGATCTGAATTCTTAAAGCCTTAACTCAAAAATAATCCCTTCAGGTTATAAATAAAAGCAGAGAATTGTCTCTTACTTGTGGCTTAATGGGGATGATAACATTGTAGCTAAATAAATCCACATGGTTATGATTGAATGTAGCACTGGAACGTCTGTGCTGGGAGAGGAGAAAGTGAGTTTGGGGACCCCTGCCCTCTCAGACAGGCAGCTTTTCTTATCCTGGGCACCAGTTGCCAAGGAGATATTGCTTTACTTGGGTACAATGATAGGAAAGCAGAACACCTTCAGGTGTGGAAAGTGCTTTTAGCCAGGCCTGCATGGCTCAGTGGTTGAGCATTGACATGGAGGTCACGGTTTGATTCCTGGTCAGGGCTCTATCTCCAGTATGGGGCGTGCAGGAGGCAGCCAATCCATGATTCTCTCTCATCATTGATGTTTCTCTCTCTCTCTTCCTCTCTGAGATCAATGATATATATATATATATATATATATATATATATATATATATATATATATATTTTTTTTTTTTTTTTAAAGAAAGTACTTTTATTTTTCCTGGGGGAGAAAATGTATGAGCAGAACAACCCCAACTGTAAGTGTCGGTTACATATTGTAAATGTCAATCCTGGATTTTTCAGGGTGAAGTGGGAATGAGACCCAAAGGAAGAGGTTAAGCTCCCTTCCTTATACAACTCCTTTTCTCTATTGAGTGTCACTGATTGCAAATTTTCAGATTTTCTTGATTAAAATAAGGTGAGCATGAAGAAAAATGTTAATTTACGTAACTAGAACAAACCCCACCCGTTCCCTTCCTGAAACCAAACCCTAGCCCTCCAGGTGTCACTGGGCATTGTGAGGGGTCATGTGACCTTACCATTCACCTCCTTTTTGGAAATCTCTCATTAGTTGTTACCACGGCCACCAGTAGGGTTCCCCTGGCCCAAGCATCAATCCCATCTTTCTTTAATTTCCTGTAATACAGTGGAGGCCTGGCTGGGAGTTTAATCAAGACAGGGTTGGGGTGGGGAAGAGAATGGGAAGGACGAAGAGGTGTCCACCATGGAGAATGACAAGTGCACACTGATCTGGCGGTTTTCTCTCCCAGGTCAGTAACGTCTGCAGGGTTTGCCTCAAACAAAAGTGTATGCTTGGGAGGGGGGTGGTTTGGGGACATGGGGCATACTTCCCCCTTCTGGGAGAGTGATCTTTATTTTTTTCATATACAACAAATCTAGGAATATACCCCAGGAAGGGGGTCCACTTTGGAAGTGATAATGTATAGGGCCAGTCACAGTGGGTCTCGGGAGGGCCACATTGCCAAGACCTCACATTTGAGAACAGCCTCAGGTGTGGACTTTGGATGTTATTTCCAAGTGAGGTTAAACACACAGCCACGGACACACACTGATATAATTGGGGAGCAGGGAGGGGAAGGAGGACATCACACAAGACTTTAAACTTGTCTTCTATGACCAGATCATATTAGCTGTTGAGTACTATCAATTTTATATTTTGTAAAACTGTGACTAGCACAATTATATTGCACTATATATACGTATTGAGTGTAAACATTAGGGCAGGGGTCCTCAAACTACGGCCCGCGGGCCACATGCAAATACAAATATTGTATTTGTTCCCGTTTTGTTTTTTTACTTCAAAATAAGATATGTGCAGTGTGCATAGGAATTTGTTCATAGTTTTTTTTTTTAAACTATCGTCCGGCCCTCCAACGGTCTGAGGGACAGTGAACTGGCCCCCTGTTTAAAAAGTTTGAGGACCCCTGCATTAGGGTGTATCACAATTCTTGTAATCCTGTTGACATTTCTTCACTTTCTAAAATCCTGCCATTCTCAGAAATTGGGAGTGGTCTGGCCTCTGAGAGGCCCTGACTGTAGCCTTTCTCTGCCCTCGATGCTGCCCGCGGAGCATGGTGGCCTTCTCTAAGAGAAGGAGGAAGAGTGGTTGCTCCAGAGGGATTTACAGAGATATTCCCTCGTGATGGAGCAGTGCAGTGGTTCTTAAACTTACACGGCAACAAACTCTCCTTGGTAGCTTGTTAGAAACGACCTACGATGCACTGAGAATTTCTGGCCCAGACCCAAGATCTTGGTTCAGGGCGTCTGGGATTACTCTTTGAAAAGCCCTGCTACCGATTACAGAGGCAGCTGTTGGGGAAGGTCAAATTATAGAAGTCTCCTTTGGGAAATATGTAATGATTCCCCCGGGAACAGTGAAAACTCTGTCTTAGAGAGAGGTTTCCCCACTAGGATCAATAAAGAAACAGGCAAGGGACCTGGCAGGTGAGAGAGCAGAGGCAGGGCTGGTTGGCAAGCCTGGCTGCGGAGAGCTGGGAGCAAGTGAGGAACTGTTTGAATGAGCAGACTGTGGGGGAGGCGGTCATGCCAGAGGGACATGGGATGCGGGCAGCTTCTGGGGGAACCTCGGTGGAGGGGAGTGGCAGAAGGCCTCAGGGTAGAGTGGGCACGTCCTAGAGCAGTGGTTCTCAACCTTCTGGCCCTTTAAATACAATTCCTCATGTTGTGACCCCAACCATAAAATTATTTTCGTTGCTACTTCATACTGTAATGTTGCTACTGTTATGAATCGTAATGTAAATAGCTGATATGCAGGGTGGTCTTAGGCGACCCCTGTGAAAGGGTCGTTCGATCACGAAAGGGGTCGCGACCCACAGGTTGAGGGTCAGAACCTTGAGTATAAAGCTGAGGAAGGAGAGGTTCTGTGGGGGCTGGTATCGGAAGAAGCTCAGAAGGCACCACTCCTTCCAATAACGGCAAACAAGCGTGAATATTCCTTATAGGTCGCGTAGCTACTAAAGTGAAGACAGACCTCTTATGACGTTTCTGATTAATTAATGTTTTTGTAAAAATAAGGGAATATATAGAGTACCTGCGATGGGGGAGAGAGGTGTCCTAAACTATGGGGTAAGGTGTGTTTTTCTAGATTATTGAGTGACATTCCTTCATTGACCAACCTGCGCCTCTCATACTATTAGTAATTCTGCTACAGGGTCAATTTTATACATTTTAACAGTTATAGTTTAGCCCTGGTCAGTGGGGCTCAGTTGGTTGGAGTGTCATCCTGTGCAGGTTCAATTCCCAGTCAAGGCACATACCCAGGTTGTGGGTTCGATCCCCCGGTTAGGGTGCATACAGGAGGCAGCCGATCAATGTTTCTCTCTCACATTGATGTGTTCTTTTTTTCTCTCTCCCTCTCCCTTCCCCTCTCTCTCAAATAAAAACATATCCTCAGGTGAGGATTAAAAAAAAGTAAAGTTTAAACACATCAGTTTCATTTCCATGATCCACTTATAATTCTGTGCTCAAATCCAAAATTCTTCTGTTACTTTTTGTCCATTCCAAAGACCTACCACAAAAGCCTTCCTGTGAGTAACAAGAGAAATTTATCCATTCGTTATATGATTAAATAATTACTGTGCTTTCTGTGGTTTTAAGTATAAAAACATCTTTGTTACCTAAGTTTTTACTAACTTTATATTTCATTTATTTAATTTATACTAATGATAGCAACTGTGCTTTATATTTTGGAGTAATCTGCTTAGCAACTCGACTACGTAAAAGCCATTTGAGCTAACAGTACAATTCTCAAGCTTTCTGGATTGCAAAGCTCTATTGTTTCTTGACTTCCACATATTATCCTTTTTTTTTTCTAGTGGAACAACATTAATAGATTAGAGCAAAAGAGTCCTAACAACTCAACTTCTATTTTGCTTCTGTTGTGGCCATCACTGATAACAGGTGGGTCCTAGGCTATAAAAAGTTGAACAAATAGTGTTGATAGGATTTTGAAATCAATGACAGTTGTTGGATTTGTATGTGTGTTTGTGTGGTTTATGTGTAGGAAGTCAAAATATAGCCTACTCAAAAAATTCAATAAAATTTTTAAATGCCTAATATAAGCTGGACACGATTTAGGTGCTGGGGATATAAGTACAAAGCAATGGGTGCATTCTCAGGGAACTTACATTCTTATGGTAGGAGATGGATAACAAAGAGTGTGACAAGAAGTCGGGTATGTGTGCTATTTTATGGTAGGATAGTGAGAGAAGGCTTCTATAATGAGCGACATTTGAACAGAGACTTGAAGGAAATGAGCAAGCTTAGTGCATATCTGGGGGAGAGCTTTCTGGGTGGAGGAATCTTGGTACAAAGACCTTGAAAGAGGAGGTCGCATAGGATTTGAAGGAATATCAAGGAGACCAGTGAGAGTGTAGTGGAATGGATGAGGCGGGGAGGGAAAGGAGATGAAGTTGGAAAGTTAGCTGGGTGGTCTTTTTGGCCATGCTAAAAACTCTGAATTTTTTTTTTTTTTTTTTTTTTTATCTTGGTGAGATGGGAAACCAATGGAGGGGTTGAGCAAAGGAATGATATGAACATTTAAAATATATATATTTTTATTGATTGCAGAAAGGAAGAGAGAGGGAGAGAGAGATAGAAACATCAATGATGAGAGAGAATCATTGATTGGCTGCCTCCTGCATGCCCTACACTGGGGATCGAGCCACAACCCAGGCATGTGCCCTGACTGGGAATTGAACCGTGACCTCCTGGTTCATAAGTCAACACTCCACCACTGAGTCATGCCAGCTGGGCTGATGTGAACTTTTTTTTTTTTTTAATATATATATATTTTTTATTGATTTTTTACAGAGAGGAAGGGAGAGAGATAGAGAGTTAGAAACATCGATGAGAGAGAAACATCGATCAGCTGCCTCCTGCGCATCTCCTACTGGGGATGTGCCCGCAACCTTCGTACATGCCCTTGACCGGGACGAACCTGGGACCCTTCAGTCCGCAGACCGACACTCTATCCACTGAGCCAAACCGGTTTCGGCTGATGTGAACTTTTTAACAGGATCACTGTGACTGCTGTATGGGGATAGTGTTAGGCTGAGTTCCCAGAAGTAGAGCCTGAGAGGGGGATGTGTGTGTGCTTTATGGATAAAATGGGGGAGAGTAAAAGAAGCAGGTAGAAGAGGAGGAGAATGGCAAAAATTCAGCCTGATCTCATGGGAAGCTCTGGAGCATAAATTACACTGTAGAGTTTTTTTCCCCACTTGCGATGAGGGAGAGGGGCTTTTTACCTTCACCCTGGTTATTGGATGAAGTCTCTCGGGGAAAGGGATAGATGGTGTAAATCCCAGGCCCTCCCAGGTGTAGTGGCTTCCATTGCCCAAGTGCAGTTATCACTGACACACTTACAGCAGCTGGGCAAAGGGCTCACCAACCAATTAATAAAAGGGTTTTCAGAGGGTCTGATTGAGTGAGCCAATAGCATCTTCTCCATGCAATAAGGGTGAAAGTACAGACACCAATTAGGAGTAAAGTGCAATAATCCAGAAGAAAGATGAAGGTGGCTTGGATTAGAATGTAGCAGTAGAGGGGTTGAGACGTATTGTTGGATTCTGGATAAATTGGGGGAGGAACAAGGGCCAGAAGATTTGCTAATGGATTGCTTACCTACACTAATACAAGAGAAACATGCAAATTAACCATCACTCCGTCACTCTGCCACTCCGCTACACCTACCAGCCAATCAGAGCAACTATGCAAATTAACCCAACAAAGATGGCGGTTAATTTGCATACACAGGCATGGAATGAAGATGACTGAAGATGGCGGTGGCCACACAGCTGGAGCAAGCAGGAGGCTTAGGTTCCTCCCGGCAACGGAGGAAGCCAAGCTTCCCGCGGCCCTGGACTCTGCTCAAGGAGGGGCTGGGGGCCTGGGCTCTGCTTAAGGAGCTGGAAAAAAAAAGGAGGGGTTGGGAGCAGCCAGAGTGGAGAAGCCAAGCCTCACTGCTGCGGCTGGACCAAAGGCCTGGGTTCGGATGCTGGAGGAGAACCGGTGCCAGCAGCCAGGGGAAGGAAGGCCTATTGCGTGAATCTTCGTGCAATGCGCCACTAGTAGAATATAAGAGGAGAAGAATCAAAGGTGACTTCAAGGTTTGTGACCTAGCCATTTATTGAGGTGGGGAAGACTGTGAGAGGAGCAGGTTTTGGAAGGGGGTGAAAAGTAGAAGCTTCATTGGAAACATTAAATTCCAAATGCCTCGTAGATGTCTGAATGAAGATGTAAAGGAGGCAATTGGATGTAAGAGTCTGAAGTTGTGAAAATACGTTCCATTTCCTAAGTTCAGATGACCAACTGCTCATGGTACTAAAAGAATGTGCATATGTCTTTAGATAGCACTGTTGGAAACTTTTGTTTGAGAGTGGATGTGGAGTGAGAAAGCCATAACTAGTTCCAAACAACCTCAAAAAGGGCAAAAGATACATATTGGAGACCATAGATCAGCAGCCTTAATGACAACTTCAGCCACCATGTCTAAAATAGAGCATTAAAAAGATGAGCTTTCATATATTTACCAAAAGTTGTAATAATTTAGAGGTAACATGGATTCCCAAAGAACAAGTTGGACCATACTAGCTTCATTTCTATTTTTGAAAGCATTCTAGGCACAGAGGTTTAGGAAATTCTGTCTTGGTATATCCCAATTTTTATGGCAAAATGAAGAAATATAGGCCAGAATATAGAATTATCATGTAGTGTTCTAATTGGCTAAACAAGAGCAAAGAAGGGTCAACCCTTAGGTTATTTTTTGCTGCCAAACAAGTTTTTACATATCGAGGCCCTTTGCTAATTGTAATTTTTAATCAACAACTTAACTGAAAAGCTAGAAAGCTTATTATCAGATTTGAAGATAACACAACCTGGGGAAAAATAGCTAATATATTGAATTATAAAGTGTAAGTTTTAAAGAAGGAGAAACCAAAACTCACAATTTTAAAATTAATAGGGATGAATGCAAAATATCCTATTTCACAGGTTGTGAGAGTTCTCCCTTCACAGCAGTGAGCAGTATCAACAATTTTTGATAAAGATGTTTATTTTTCATTGTCATTTGTGGCATGACGTTAAGAGTTCAGGCTTTGGAGCCATTTGCCTAGGTTAGAATCCTGGCTCTGCCACTTACTAGGTGTGTGATCTAGGGTATTTTTCTTAAAATCTGTGTTTTATTTTCCATACCTGGAAGATGAGGATGATATTAGTCACAACTAATATTGTTGGAATTTTTATAAGAATTAAACTCATGTAAGGTACTTAGGACAATGCCTGGGACATAGTTAGTACTCAATTAATAACTATTATAACAGATTCAACTATGTGATCTGGTTGCTAGAAAGGTAAGACTGAGTACAATTATAGAAGTGAGCTATCAGGATCAAGGGAAGCTCATGGCCCACTGCGTTCTTTACTGCTGGGATTTTATTCAGTCCTGGGTGTCCCTAATTAAAAAAAGTGTCTCCAACCTGTGGGAAATTGAGTGCTGAAGGTGGTGAAGAGTATGGACTCATGCCAAATGGAGAAAAATTGAATGGACTGGGATAGAGAGAATGAGTTCTTTTGGAAAAAGACTCAGGAGATGAAGTAAAGCTTCCTTGAAACATATGAAGGGCTGTCATGTGGAAAAGAAATTAGACAGAGTCCCTGTTGCTTTGGAGACAGAACCAGAAGCAAAGAGTAGGAATAAAAGGTAGGGTGCAAACGTGTTTTAACTTTCTGTTACTTGCAGAGAGAGGGCAGAAGCCCGGTCTAGCTCTGCCTCTAAATTACTGTAAGATATCAAATTTTTCCACTCTACAAGCCCCAGTTTCATAAACTGTGAAATCAGGGTTTGGGGTATTATGTGCTCTAAAGTGGAAATTAGGATTGGTCTATTAATGGGTTATCTTCCTAGACAGTGGGTTTCCTATTGTTACCATCGTAACTAGCTAGTTTATTAATATTAATAATAGGAAGGAAGCAAAGGGAAGGCCAGACATGATAAGCATGGTCATCTGGGCAGCTTCACCAGGAAGCTACAATTTCACAGCCCCCAGGGAACCACCAGTCTATTCCCTGCAAATCATTGGGGAAAGGGGTCCAATAAAGGGGAAGATGGGTGCATGTGCAATGAGGTTGGAGTGATGTAGGGAAGTTGCTTGCCTGTCAGTCTAACCTGGAGAAAAAGATAATTGGCTAGGGTGTGGAAACACTACAAGCACGTGAAATCTTAAAGGCTTAATTGATTAAGTTCCTACTTATAACTCATACAAAGAGCTCTTGCTCTCTTGTTTGCTCTTTCACTTCTATTTCTTGCTTGCTCCATGATCTGCACTCGCCCGCCATGTGGCCATGGGCCATGCGGACCCCACATGCAATGGACTGCGGCTGGGAACACAAGCTAAGCTAGCCAGATGCTGGGCTGGATTGTGCTTTAATATGGAGCTGAAACTCTGGGCAGTGACTTTAGCATGGAATTTTTTCCATGGCTAGAGGGAAGAGGGAAGGAGATGGGACCTTGGAGAGGAACTCCCCTAATGTCATATCATCAATAAAGCTTTCCATTATACCCCATCCTCCTGTGGGGGGCCTCAGGAAATTCTTGTTCCTGTGGCACCCCAAGAACTCCACTTCCACCAATAACAGGTGGGGATACAGTGGGCACCCCACAGATAGCACTATCACTGGAAATGTCTAAACTGAGACATATTAGAGTAGACATTAATATATTTGATTAGGATTTATGTGATCTAAATGGTATCAAAGATCTCTTTTAATTCTAAGATTCTAGGAAAAAATTGCTTATTTACTTATGTACTTATTTATTTTAAATTTATTTTTGTAAAAATAGAAAGTGCTTTATTTCCAGGAATTACAAAAGCTGATGAAATACAGGATGAAGGGAGTGCTGCTGCAATCTGGTGTAGCGGAAGGAATGGCCACCTAGTTTCGCTTTCCAACTACAAACCCTATGGGGATCTTGTGGTTTAAGGTAAGGCATGATGAGGGCCAATATTAAGTAAAATAAGGCTGACTTGAACACAAGCACTGTGATGCCATGACAGTCCATCTAATAACCCAGATGGCTACCAAGTGACTAAAGGGCAGGTAGCCTATACAGTGGATACTCTGCACCAAGGGTGGGGAACCTTGGGCCATTTGGATATTTATAACATCATTCATGAGCCATACAAAATTATCAACTTAAAAATTAGCCAGCTATATTTGGTAAAATATTTAATTAATTCACCCCTAATGCCTTGGTAGGGCCAGACCAAATGATTTTGAGGGCCTTATATGGCCCGCGGGCTGGATGTTCCCCACTGCTGCAAGGGATAAATAAATCAGGTACCAGGTAGGATAGATTGGGATTGCATACAGTTTAAAACTTATGAACTTTCTATTCCTGGAATTTTCCATTTGAATTTTCAGATCTTGGTTGTCTGTGGGTAACGACAGAAAGTGATACTGTGGATAAGCAGGACGGCTGTACTGTGAAATGCTCAGATCTTTAAGTTCATTAGTTTTGACAACTGCATAGCAAGATAAAATATTTTCATCAGCCCATTATGTTCCCACATGCCCCCAGTCAATTCCCATAGTTACCCTTCAACTACTGATCGACTTTAGTTTATACCTTAGTTCTATCTATTCTAGAATTTCTTATGAGTGGACTCATGTATGTGCTCTTTTGTACTTTGTTTCTTTTATTGAGTGTCATATTTTAGAGATTCATTTATGTTGTGTGTACCAGTACTTCATTTGTTTTTATTGCTGAGTAGTTAGTATTCCGTTCTTTGAATACACCACAGTTTTAAAAGACTCTCTTTCCCTGTGATGCACATCTGGATTGTCTCCAGATTTTGGCTATTCTGAATAACATTTCTATGCAAATTCTTATATAAAGCTTTCTGTAAACAGACATTTCTATAAACATACATTTTCATTTCTCTTGGGAAAATATCTGTGAATCGAATTTCTGGGTCATAGGTCAGATGTATGTGTAATTTTGTAAGAAATTGCTAAACATTTTCTCAAAGTAGTTGTACCATTATATATTCCACCAGAAAAAGTGAAACTTTGAGTTGTTCCACATCCTTTCCAACATTTGGTGGTGTGTGTGTGTGTGTGTGTGTGTGTGTGTGTGTGTGTGTATCTCATTGCATTTTACTATGTAGGAACCTGATGACTAATGATGTTGACTACTTTTACATGTGCTTATTGGCCATTTGTATAACTTCTTTGCGAGCTGTCTGTTTAAGTCCTATGCCCATTTGAAAAATTGAGTTCTTTGTCTTTTTATTATTGATTTATAGGATTTCTTGGTCTGGACATTTGTTAGATATGTGTATTGTGAATATTTTTTCCCAGTCTGTGACTTGCCTTTTTACTTTTTTAATAGTGTTTTCAATGAACAGGCACTTTGTAGTTTGATGTATTAAAATTTTGTCAATGTTTTCCTCTTATGGTTCATGCTTTCTGTCCTTTTTGAAAAGTTTTTGCCTACTGCAAGGTTGTAAAGATTTTCTCCTAAGTTTCTCCCCTAACTTTATTATTACATTGTTTTACCTTTACATTTAATTCTCAAATTGATTTTTGTGTATGATGTGAGGGAAGAATGAAGATACTTCTCTCCTCTCCTCTCCTCTCCTCTCCTCTCCTCTCCTCTCCTCTCCTCTCCTCTCCTCTCCTCTCCTCTCCTCTCCTCTCCTCTCCTCCCCTCCCCTCCCCTCCCCTCGCTTCCCCTCCCCTTCTCTCCCTTCCCCTCCTGTTTCCTCCCCTCCCCTTCCCCCCTCCCCTCCCCCTTCCTTCCCCTCTCCTCTCCTCTCTCCTCTCTCTTTCGCTATGGATATCCAGTTATTCTAACCCAGTTGTTGAAGAAATTTCACTTTTTTCACTAAATTGCTTTGGCACCTTATCAAAAGTCATTTGACTGTATGTGTATAGGTTTCTTTCTGGAATCTATTCTGTTTCTAGTCCTGTTTTCTTTTCTAAGTGTTGTAATGGTTTTAAAATAGAAATGGGTTAAAATTCTTAGGTATACAGAGGTTTATGAATTAGTGTAGAAGTCCCACAATAAGCATTTTCACCACTTGAAGACTTTTTTTGTGTGTGTTCAGTGAAAATAGGATGACTTATTTGATTCTCATGTGAGTACTCCAGGGGAGGTTGTTATAAAGAGCCAGAGTGTTAATGTGTATTGGCTTTTACTTGCTGCTTATAGCAACATCTTTCAGGAATGAGATGAGCTCAGGCAAGAATTAGCTGGTTTGAGAGCAGAAACAGAGGGCATAGAGAGAATCTAGAAATGTAAGGCTTGCCAGGGTTGAAAAAAACAATGATTCCTGAGCCCAAATAAGCTGTTGACTTTCTATTCAAGTTTATTATTTTTAAATAGTTACAGTATAGCTGACATGAATTGAGAAAGGCAAAAGCTAGACCTTTTGCAATTAGTTAAAAATTTAGCTGAATTCTTATTAGCCACCAGTATGGCACCCAGGGTTGCTTCCTCCATTTCCCTGGCTCGTTGGAAAGTCCCACCTTTCCATAAAATTTAGGCTACTTGGTTGTCAGGGGACTGTAACTCTCTGATGGTTCAGAGGAAGTTATAATTTGAGTCTATCCAGCTTTTTATTGTTGTTAAGGTTGGACTGAGCTGTTACCAGCTTTTTATATCCTCAGTGGAAACAGAACTCCCAAGAGGGTGATTTACGAAGGTATTCTTCACTCTGTAAAATAACTTTTTGTAATTTGAATTGCAATCCCTGTTAACCATTCCAACTCCTATTACCACTCGAGTCTGTTTCTTTATGGGATCTAACTCATCTGCCTCTAAACCTCCAGACCACAGCTCCTGGAGGGTATGACCTGGCATTTATTTCTATCCCCAGTAACTTGCACAGATCCTGGCACAACTCAAACACCCTGTTTGTTTATTAACTGATGAATGGAAGGCCTTGGCCAACTCACCTGACAAATGCCGATCTGTCTCCTTAATACTTGGTCCATTCCTCCACTGGCATCGGGTATGATGATGATTTTTACATCTTGTAGTCTAGCTTGTGAGTTTGTTGGGAGCATGAATCAGTTATTCTTTTCTTGTTAATCCTCACCTGAGGATCTTTTTCCATTGGTTTTTAGGGAGAGTGGAAGAGAGAGGGAAAGACAGAGAGAAACATCGATGTGAGAGAAACACATTGATTGGTTGCCTCCTGCAGTAGCCCTGACCAGGGCCCAGGCTAGGGAGGAGCCTGCAACCAAGGTACATGCCCTTGACCGGAATCAAACCCGAGACCCTTTGGTCTGCAGGCCGATGCTCTATCCACTGAGCCAAACAGGCTAGGGCTGAATCAGTTCTTATTCTATATTTCAGGTACCTAGAGAAATGTGTTGTAGATATAATTATGATTCAGTTTGTAAATGGGTTTTCTAAATGAACTGTTGCATGACTTGGTTGAATGATTATACAAAATGGGTTTATATTCATGCAATTTTTATTTAAGTGATTAATAGAATAAGGATATCACTTGTAGGGTGTGTACATGTCTTATCTCCTAATGATGTAGGTAATTGTAGAATTTGTTTAAGGCAAAGATGGTAACCACGTGGCACCTCTGCCACCATTTTTTCCTTGTGTGCCCATGGCAAACAGTCCATTTCAGTTCTTTTCCCCATTGATCTCAGACATAAACTCGACACCCTACCTTGCAATAACAACTCCACCACCGCATCAGATTTGGAGCATGGAATAATGATTATTTTCCCTTTCCTAATCCAAGGGGTTTGTGAGGCAACAAGCTACAAAGTCACCCTTGAAGCCTTGATGCCCTGGCTGGATGGTACCTAGAGGAAAGATGCTAGTAAGCGGCAGACACTTTGCAGATTCCTGTCTCTCAGAACTTAATCATATTTGCATTTTGGCTATGATCAGATGGAGGAAACACAAACTCCAAACTGTCAATCAGCTTGGGCTTCTTTTCCAACTTTTTCTAAATCAATTTCTTTAAAAAAATCTCTGAACGCCAAAATTATACAATTGGTTTTTAAACAATTACAATGTTTTTTATCTATATATTGCATTATACGTAATTGGTAACCAAGAATTATTCGTTACTGAAATTCTAGATTCGGAGGTGTGTATATAAATGTGCGTGTGAGTGTGTGCATCCATCTGTGTGAACTGAGATGTTCATGGGATTTGGGAGAGAGTAGAGGGAAGATGTTTACTGAAAATATATTTTTATATTGTCCAGTTTTTGCCTTTAAATACCAGTAGAAAAATTTCTGAAGCATATAGATTTCTGGCATTGTAATTTATCTTCAAAACAGAAATTAAATCTAACCAGTTATAAATTTCAGCTTCTTTCTGAATTAACCATGTTGGCATCACCCCAGCTATCTCCTTATGTTCACATGGTTGCTTCCAGACTCTATGTAGAATTTTATGTCTCTGTAGTATCAAATTTGTTAAATGGCATATTTTTATATCAGTAATTTTTATAGCATATTGTTATTCCAGACTTTTACATGCCTCTAATTTATTCTTAACTTCAATATAGCAGTAGTGATTTTTTTCTCCTAAGTTTGACGGTATGAACACTTTAGTTATGATTTAAAGTCATTAAAACACCATCACTCATTTGTACTTTATTTTCTATTTTGTTTTTGCAAACTTTAGCTATTTGGACAGATACAACTGTAAGTATTAATGCTCCTCAAGCTTTTTTAAATATCTCTTTGGGAAACATTGAGATTATTTCGTAATATGATTGAGATAAAGTGTTTCTGATGACCTTAGATTATTCATGCTACTTAAATGCAGAATAGAAAAGATGGGTTTGATTGCAAATCAAATAGAAACCGATGCAGTTTCCTGAAATCATATTCCACTTTCTTAGTCTCTTGATAACAAGGAGTAAGTTGGTCATAAACTTTCTCTTCTGTCTTTCACAAAATGAGGTCATTGGGTTGCAGAGTTTGCCTTAGGAAAGGTTTTGGGGCAGTGTCCTTTCTCAGCTGTCTGGGTACCGCGTTTCTGTGGCTGTCAGGATTATGGTCAAAGGTGACGTGGATGAAGAAGGCTGATGAGGTGTGTTTTGGTCGCTACATAAAGCAAGATTCACAAGTGCAGCAATCATGACATTGATTTTTTCCTTTGAATACTTTGCAATTGAGAAGGGTAGTGTCTTCGTTGTCTGGCATATGGTCCCAATAACTTTAATGAATACTTGTTTAGAGCATCGATTTTCTGTTTTAATTATATCATTTTATTATTGGCACAGAATTATGACCACATTAATGGAAATAAAGAAGAAAAATTAAACTAAAAAATCAAGTGTCTTTTCTTTTCCCTCGCTTATATTTAGTTTTCATCCACTTATAATTATAACATGTGTGTAGTTGAAATCATAGCTTTTGATATACAAGTTCTATACTAATTTTTAAGTACCATATCAGAAGCATGTTTCTATGTTGCTACATGATATAATTTGTAATGATTATTTCAATAAATATGTATCTTCACATTAGTAGATAGCCATTCAATGTTGATATACAAAAAAATTATAAATTACATATAAGTTATTAAAAAATCAACAAATAACAACCATCTGCCTATCATTCAGTTTAAGATAAAGAACATTACCAATAAGCTTGAAGTTCCCCATTTGCCTCTATCTATCTCATCCTCTTTCATACCTCCCAGAGGTCACATGATCACCATCTTAAATCTTGTGTTTATTGTACCCTTGATTTTCTTTATGATTTTATTATATATTTGGTTGTATCCCTAAACAACATGTATTTTCATGACTATTTTAACCTATATTTAAATGGACTCATACCAGATGATTTTTCTGTGATTTTTTTCACCTAATATTAAGCACCTATTTATTTCATGTCATTGTGGGTTATATTGTATTGATTTGCATGGCTGTAAAGTATTTCATTATATGAATATGGCCACAACTTAGTATCCATGATGAATATTTGGATTTATTCCAGTTTTTCCCCATTATAAATGATAGTTTAAAGAACACCGTAATGTATACTTCCTCTTACAATTGTTCAAAAGTTTCTTTTTAAATTTAACATTCAATATTATTTTGTATTAGTTTCAGGTGTACAGCATAGTGGTTAGATAATCATATACTTCACAAAATGATTCCCCCAATATTTCCAGTACCCACCTGTCACCATGCATAGTCATTACAATATTATTGACTATATCCCCTATCCTGTACTCTTCATTCCCAAAAGTTCTTTATGATGTATATGTAGGAGTGACACTGGTGGGTCATAGGGTATGTACCCTTCAAATACATAGGTAGTTCCAAATGATTTTCCAGAGTGGTTTTACCAGATTACACCCCCACCAGCAATGTGTAAAAATTCTGGTTGTTTTACACACTTGTCAGCTTTTGATATTATCAGACAGTATGATTTTTGATAAGCTATTTGAACCCATATAACCCAAAGAATTAATATCCAGAATATATAAAGAACTCCTACAAACCAATAAGGAAAGAAAACCCAAGAGAAATATAAGCAAAACATTTGAACAAGGACTTCACTAGAAGATAAACCATATGTAAACATGTTCTGCCTCATTATTAATTCAAAAATGCATATTTAAACCCAATGAGAAAGCATTTCAAATTTGTATCAGTCATGGGAATCATCAGTATTTAAGAGGTTATAAGCAGAGCCAATGTAAATGAAAATATAGGACCTATTATTCAAAATGAGGAAAAAGTGCTATTTAAGTTAGATTACAAAGCTTTTTCCTTTATTCTCTGGTCTCTCTCTTGACATCATGGTAGCTTTTGTTTGTGATGTAAGGTCATTCCAATAAAGAATAATTAAAACTTTAAATTACTGGCATGAACGTTACCATTCATCTTTATATTGTGCAATGCCAGTATTTTTTTTTAACAGCTTTGAGGTATAATTTGCACACAATAAATTCACCCATTTGAAGTTCATAGTTCAGTGGTTTTTAGTACATTTACAGAGTTATGCAACTATCACCACAATTTAATTTTAGAACATTTTCATCATCCCAAAAGAAATCCCCCTACCCATTACCAGTCTCAATTACCCCCTTCCCAAGCCCTAGGTAACCACCAATCTACTTTCTGTCTCTATAGTTGTATCTATTCTGGACATTTAATATAAATGGAATAATACAATAGGTTTTTTTTTTGGGGGGGGAGGGGGGACTGACTTTCTTTCTGCAATGCCAATTTTAAATGCAAACATCAGAGCACTTAACTTGTATGAGGAATTACCAAAATAACACATTTGATGTTTTATGGCTTCTGTTTGGAGGGTGCCTTGAGCTGGCCAAAAGAGACAAGTTTAAGCCGAACTCAGGAAGGTTGAAAGAAGGAAGAGAGAGGATTCTCCTCCCCCGTCCCATACAGCTGTCTGAAAGAGTACTTCCAGGAAAGAGGATGTTTGTTAGCAAGTTCAGGCCCTGCCCCACAGTTTTTCCTTCTATCAAAGTGGAATTTCCGCATCAAGCCCTAATCAAAGCTGGATTAGGGAAGTGGAGCCATTCATTTCCTCTATCCACAGTCTGCTGCTCCAAATCATGCAGACGGGTTGGTTACCCCCGACGATCTTTAAACCTCTGTGCCACAATACTGAGTACCCGGGTGGGAATGGCCAAGAGGATTGTGGACCGAGACTCAGTGTCTATTGTTCTCCTGCCATGCATGCCATGGTGCTGATAGTGTGGCACAGGAATGGATTGAGTACCCAACCCTGGTCCCTCCAGTACCAAGCCCAGGCCCTTTCCAAGGAGCAGAAGAAAGAGAAGTTTGACAGGAGCTGTAAGAAAGTGGTATCAAAGAAATTGATTGAAGAAGATGTTCCAAGAAAGATGGAGAAGTCAGCAGAGTCATTGCAAGAGAAAAACATAGAAAGGAAAGGACTGAAAACTGTCATATGACAGTACCGATGACTTTGCTGAATCAATTTTAGTGCATTGGAGGGAGTAGAATCCAGATTACAAGGGTTGTAGGGAGAATGAGGGAGTGAAGAAGTGGAAACAATGGGTGTGGATGTATTCAAGAAACTTTTCTGCAAAAGGGAGGATGAAAGTAGAACTCTGAGTGGCAAGAGTCTAGAGCAGGGGTGGGCAACCCCTGGCATGCGTGCCAAACATGGCACGCCAGTAACTTTTGTTGGCACGCGAAACCCTCTCTTATAATCTTCCATTTACAATTTTTTTCTTAATATTGACTTTTTTATTTTTCAGACAAATTCAGTGTAGGTGCATCTTAGATAAATAATTTTACATAACAAGTTATCTTAAAGACCATAGACATGGATTGATGAGAGGGGGGAAGAATAATTTCTATGCCTCTGCCTTAACTCTCCCTGCCTTCCTAGATCCGACCAGTGTTTTGGTTTCATCCACATACGCTTGTGAATCTTTGTTCTCAGTGATGAATTTTGTTAAGTCTCGTAATAGGAGCAGCCTGACGGATGAAAGCAGTAGCTCGTGCATATCTCTGAAGGTCACAAAATATAAACCTGATGTAAAATCTCTGTCATCAGTGATGCAGCAGCAAAAGTCCCACTGATAATATCAAACGGAGTCATAAAGTTTTCTGTTGAACTATCAGTGTACATGTATACATTAAAAAGTAAATGTATTTTTCATCATCATATACTGTGTTTTTGTCGCTCGAATGAATTTTATTATTTCTTCAAGGTTCTTCACATATGTACACCTTAAGAGATATCAAGTAGGCGCAACGTGTTCTTAAAAAATTAGGGTTGGCACGCAGAAGAATTTTGAGTCAGAGATTTTGCTGGTTTTGGCACGCACTCACAAAAAGGTTTTCCACCCCTGGTCTAGAGCAAGGGCTGGTAAATGATATGGAGCTGTTCATATTTGAATTCCCAACTTCCCATGTTACCTTGGTCCAGGATACCTTGAGGACCCTTGCCTGGGGGTGATTATAATGCCTTCAGAATTAATAGTAGGTGCTGAAGACCACCACATAGCCTGCCCTCCAAGGAAGTGCACTTTTAGGAGTTGTACTCAGAGCCAGAAGACAGGCATGAAGTTGCCTGTCATTATCTGAGAGTCTGAACTTACCCTTGTACTTAGAATTGAATTATAGCTTAAAGGGATATACTTCCTCTTAAAACTGGAGCCAGAGGCCTCTGAAAACACACCGACAAAAATTTGTGGTTAAGGTTTCTTTGTCCTGTATAATCTTGAGGAATTCTGTGATAAGAAGTAGGATGACCACAGTTTTTCCGTGACTACACATCTCCTGAATACAGTAATTCACTTCCACTCAATCCTGATTTGATGGACTAATTGTGAAGGGCTGGCATAATAATGAGCCTGGACACTGGACCCATGGACCCCTGCTATGCTTCGGGGTGGAATGGATAGAATTCCATGGATGGGAGATCACCTTCAAATGATACCCAGACTTGCTTAAGACCTCTCTTATGTTATTTGGTTTGTACAAATTCCAGTTGTCCTATTTTAACACCTAATGTATGAGTCTGCATTCTGCATCCTGTACAGTCTCTTGAGTCAAGAGCAATTCTTCAGGTACTTATAGTTTATGATCATATGTACCCTGAGTCTTTTTAAAAAATATATATTTTTATTGATTTCAGAGAGGAAGGGAAAGGCAGAGAGAGAGAGAAACATCAATGATGAGAGA